GTAGTACAGTGTATGAGGAAACTCTGAGCACCTTCAAATTCAAGCTTTCCATGGTCTTTCCAATTGCTGTATGGGGAAAAAAGCTGTATTAGTTCCCAAGTCAGGAGGGTGAGGCAGATGGAATACAGAAACTGAATTGTTTTCACATCAGCACTATTTTTTGGAAATGTGCTAAGAGATTTACTCCACTGTGTAAAGGATCAGACCTGTTTCCCTCACCATGAAAAAAAAATATTTACCTTGAATGGTAAACAAGTTCTGTGACCAATTGCATGTGCTGTGGGTGGCCATTAAAATACAAAGTAAACCAGTTGTTACTGGAACTAGCAAAATAAGTATTTCCTAGTGTCTGTAGGCACACGGAATTCAATCCTTGCTCTTCTGAAGTGGTTGGAAGGCAAGGTAGTACAGGTTGGCTAAACCACAGCAATGTATTTTCAGGCTTTTTGTCTTGACACACAGAACTTCTGAGGAAGATGTTTTGCAAAGGGATAAGGCAAGTGGTGCAAGGGCTTTATTTAAGCACTTGAAGCAGTTCTCTGTTCGTTTCTCTAAGCATTCGCTTTTGAAATCATGTTAGTAGTCTGTTCTGGAGTTCAAAGCTCAGCTCCTTCCTTTCTCCTATAATGAAATGATGTTTTCTGCATGCACTGTAAGTTGTTGGTAGCCTTTAACATATCTGTGCTTCTGTCAGAAACTGGAAAACATTTTTTTCCAGGTGCTAGTCACATTTTCTGGGCTTGTCTTTCAGTTTTCATGTAATAGGTTAGTGCATGACTAAAGGATTCTTTGAAATTCCCCATAAAATGTTCATGTCTGTTATACCTGACAGCATGACGAAATCAAGTGATGAAGTGTACAATGTGGTGCAGAGACCAGAGCAGCAGCTCTTTACTGGTTACAGTACTACTGCTTTTAAACTTTCTCCACATCTGCGAATTGCCACATGAATATTTTTGACGGTGTTGTTTTTCATTTTATACACATCAGAATGGCAAAGTAAATTGTCTCAGTATAAAAACGGCTGCAGGGGCTGTATAACATGTATGTTTATAGTGTGTGGATGTATGTTATGTAGCGTATTCTCTGTATAAAGAGAGACCGAGAGAGAGAATATTAACTGTGATGAAGTCATGAACCCAGGCGCCCGCTATAGGCATCTGCAAACACTGGTTACCCTGGCAACAAGTGGAAAGAGGTTGGAGAGGAAAGCTGGAGTAGGTTGTTGCATTGAATTGTTTTCAGCTTGTTTCTTCCTCACTAAAGCAGGGAGATGTTGAAAGGTATGATGTCCCTCTTTCTATGTCGTATACTATTTTATATGTATTTAGGCAGTTGTTGGGAAAGGGAAGGCTAAAAAAAAATACTTGTAATTCAGCTCGATTGGAGACAAACTTTTCGGTATAAATAATAATATGCCTTGCAAATCTGTGTTTTCTCTACGTGCTTAATTTTTGTGTGCTGTGTTGTAAGGTGAGAGTGCTAAATGGATCTCCAGAATACAGTATCTGTCCCATCTTCAGCCTGGAGACAAGTGACTGTTGCATATTATGTCTTCAGAAACTGATTTTATTTTAAACCGAGTTTGTAGATGTAATGTTTGAAAACCTGCCAGGACAGTACAAGTACCAGGTATTGCCAGAAGATTTGTTAACTGGTGTTAAATCTGAGCTTCTGAACACCTTCAGTATGTGCTGTACTTACATTCTTCTGCTCTTGCACTTGGTGCAGAATATTGTGGCTCATGAGTTAGTGGAGTCTGTACCTCCCTGGGGAAAGTTTTTATTAGAAAAACTAGGACATTATGTTCAGGGCTATAGCAGCATCTTCCAGAAGACAAATATCAAGATACTGTCTTCAGATCTGTTTTAGACAAGTATTAGGAGATCCAACTGTGTGATTCTTCCTGATTATCCTTCTATCTTTTGCACTTTTTAGTCTGTAGTTAAAAAAAATACATAATAAATATCTGTGCACTATATTAAAGTATAAATAGTATAGATTATGCTATATACACATAAAACAACCAATTCTTGTCATCTTCAAGAATTTTTAGAAGTATTTTGTTCATTAACTTTATTTTTAACTTAGAAATAATGCCATTTGTGTGACTGTTACCAAAAAAAAAAAAATTTCACAGTCTTAAAAGAGTAAAATGTGTGACCCAATTGGGGGATAGAATTCAGTCACTGTGTATTTAACATCTCTGAGAGCAAGGGATTGATTAATAGTGGCTCTTGATTTCTTATGTACTGAAAGACGCAGCCTAATAGAATATTAACAAGTGCTGTTTCCAGAAGTGCGGTGCTAGAAATACACACTCAGTGTGCCAGACTCCTGCCTTTTCATTTCCATTCACTTCCACGTGAAAAAAAGGCTGACGCCTAATTTTATTCAAATTAAATCTAATTTTACGACACTGTAAAACTGGATCTTAAAAACTAACACAAATAAATATGATACGGAAGACGGAGATGCGTTTGAGTATGATGATTGCTCCTAAAAGCACAGACTGATAGCAGACTTGTAGCATCTCCCTAGAAATAGGCTGCTCAGAAGAGGTTTTGTCAGTGGGGCATAATTTAGATAAAATAAAGCACAGCAAATCAGCTTAAGCAAGGATATATCGTATAATTAAACAAAGATTGTAATTAGCATAAGAGGTAGAGTTTTGTCAGTAAACAATAATGCAAATCAGAGCTCTTACTCTGAATGGTGAACTAGTAAGTCCCTAATGCAGCCGAGTGCATACAAAACTGTTCTCGGTCAGTAGCTCAGTTGAGGCTGTAGGATTTGCAGATTATTTGTATTTAGTATCGTACCTGCGAAATTAATTACTGTTTTTGTATTCTTAGTTGATAAGTAAGGTTCTGTTAGTACTTACCCTAGATACTTCAGACTGAGTTTGGGTGTTGGAGTAATTGACTTCTTAGCTGTCTTGTAATCTTCTGAAATCATCTTTTCATCTTGCTTTTCTTCCAGTGTTGATGTAATGTTTCTTTCTGTCTTTTGATCAAGTGGCTTGTAGCCATTTTGGTGTGGGAGTCTTCTGAGTTTAGACTACAGCTTCTCGTCAGGCGCTAGCGGTGTAATGGGATATGTGTGTGTTGGCTTCAGGCCACGTTAGGGCTGATCCTTCTTCACACAGTCTCATGTTCTTTGTCAGCATGTGGGTAAATCAGACCTGTATCTGGTATAAAAGGCAGGCAGATACACAACAGAATGATCCTTCAGCTCTCCTCTGCTGCTTGAACAGGGAAACAATGAATTAGGGTTTTCCTAGCCAAGATTCCTGTAGCTGAGTACTTCCTTCTCCGTTGTTTTTAAGCTGATATGGTCTGTTAATACAACACAACAAGATGCAACGATTATTTTCCCACTTCAATGCTGTATTTTGAAGAATCCATAGAGAAATGTGCGAGAGTGCTGAGACTGAGAACGACATTCTTCTGCGTTAGGTGTTTGCATTTTGTGCTTGATAGCGAGTGGAACATCACAGAACAGGAGCTGCCTGTGATCGTGCTGTAGTGTCTGACCTTTCCTTTTCGGGAACTATTGGAGAATCCTCTGCAAGCAGACCCATTTATCCTAAGGCTTGCATTGGCTACCAGCACCAGTTTAGATGATGGGTTCTTTTCTTTACTAACGAAAATTTGTGGATGAAAGACATTGCGGCCTGCTTTGGTAAGCCTTGCCTTGTACAAATTGTTCAAGAACCCTAGAAGATGTAATTCATTTAAAAAGTTGCATCTTTCAAACTGCATTGGTCTGACTTCTACCAGGCCGTTAAGCTGTAATGTCTTAAGCATTTTCTGCAAGGGGTACTCTCGTGCAGGAGAATATTAACATGGTAAATTCCAAGTTCTTACCTACATTGATGAAGATGTGGTTTTAACACTTGAGAGGGTGGGAGTATTTTTCCAGTAACAAAAGATTGAAATATATATCTTGCTTTTTAAGATATCATAGTGTCAAAATCCTAAATTAATTTAGAGCATGGACTTCTAAAGAATTTTAGAGGAAGTTAGGCAGTGAATATACGTTGCATCTGCTGGTCTGCGATGGATGCCTGTGCACACCTTACCCTGTGTAACTATAAGGTGATTCAGATTAGACTAGACAGCCCTTTATTTTTATCAGAGCGTAAGAGCTTGTTTGTGTGTCCATAGCCTTGAAGGCTTGCTGCTGTTTCAGTCTGCCCCTCCCAGAAAGGGCATCAGTTGCTCTCAGTAGTTAGTGAAAATTGCTCGTTAGGTACAGCGGCTCAGTGTGTAAGAAAACTTGTGTAACACCACCATTCATTTAAAAGCAGATATAGCTGGTACGTAATAAAAAGACTGTACACACACACATAGGTGGGTTCTGAGTTGTAAACATCCCCAGTTTTGGAAGGTGGGATTTTAGACTAACGTATTTGTAGAGGTACAGGGGATGTATCAGTGAAACGTGGGCATTTAGTAGAACTTGATACTGGTTTCATTAAAAAGAAGAAATCTGGCCCTGTTGCTGGATGTTCACAGCAATGAATCCTCTGTAGCAGTAAGCCGTGCTTGCGTGTAGCAGGTACCCGCGGTTGCAGATCAGAGAGGGACCGTGTTGACAGCTGGCGCATGGCTGAGGGTGATGGATTTTGCTCTGCGTGTGTGGCAGGTGTTTCAGCCTCCCCTCTCCGAAGGAGGGCCTCGGGGCAGTTGCACGTGTTTTGCTTGCAGGTGTGCAGAGATAACAAGATGTCATAGACAGATATTTTTTTTCGTTTTGATTTTTAAATTACTTTTTCGGTTTTTTAAAGAGTTTGAAATGATGGCCCCAAGTATGAAAGAGCTGGTGTTGCCGTCTTAGCGTGCCAGCGGTGGCTTTCGCTCGGTCATGGTACTGTGTAGAAACAGAGCAGGGGTTAAGAAAATTATTCCAGCAGTTGCTCAGACAGCAAAAGGGTTGAGGCTTAGGAGAGAGTTCAGGATGGCTCTTAATCTGTGAATTATATTTCATTAATCAAGAGGAAGAAGAGCTTGAAGTGCCTTTGGAGGGGCTTGGATTTCAGCAGCAGGAGTCACGGCTTTGTCAGCAGATGAAAATGGCTACTGTTGCACCGTCGCCAGAGCCTGTGTGCTGGCAAGTGGAATCGGTGACCAGCACAAATTCGGGGCATGTTTGTACCCAAGGTAGGAGCTTTCTACGCTTCAAAGAATTCTGAAAATGGGTGGTTAGCTGCGCATCAGTCCGTAGGGATGGAGCGATTGGATGGCTGTGATGCGTGTTCCTCAGTTTCTCTGTCTGCCTTCCAGTCAAGTATTCCAGAGTTTAGAGGCGTTCCTGGCAATGTCCCAGCTTCCTGGGGAAGTGCCTTGTCGTCCCTTAATGGTTTTTCTCTTTGGTGCATGACTCACATGCTAAATACCACGGCAGCAGAGCCACATAACAACCCTCCCAGTAGCAGGCTGTCATGCTGTGTAGTTTGTGCATCCTTTAAAGTAGCATTTTTCTTTTAACTGGAATCTTATACAGGGCAATATGAGAACACTTTGGATTACACTATTGGAATATTTAGCAGAAGGAAACAATTCTTCACAAAACCTGACTCACTCAGTCTGAGTAAACATAAAAAAGAGCATTGCAGCAGTTAATGCTTTTTATCCCTCCTCTGCCCTCTTCCCAAGAGAAGCAGGAGTTGGTGTTTTTATTGAAAAAATGAAAAACTCGGTATTTCAGATGGGCATAATCTAGATATTCATGTTTGGGGTATTTCGTTTTTTCTTACTTCTGAGTCCTGTGTGTGATTACTGCAGCGTTTCTGGTACTCTGCTCAGAAATGATTGGCTGCCCATGGAGGTGGGTGCCTGACTGGCCTTGATGGAAAGCTGTGTCTCATCGTGGCAGTTCTTACATCCTTGTGTACAGTTGAGAACATACAATTCAATTTTACATCCCTTAGTTGTTAGTTCTACTGCTGGTTGTTTTCAGACTAGCATCAGGAAGCTGGCATTTTATTGGGCAGTGTTTAAGTGGTTATGTCAGTTCCAGAAATCTAAGAGGTATATTTGACAAGACTGAATCTATAAAAGTGTATATGGACCCCTGTCATGATTACCAGTCTGGTGGTTTCATTCATATAACTCTAAAAAGGTTTGACTCCATATGAAGCAGTATTATTAGGAAGAAATCAAGAAATCTTTCTTAACAGCCCCTCAGTTTCTAATGTGAAAACATTGTCTTCTACTGGTTATTGTTGCGTAATATGTTATTCTAGAATGTGATAGTGCCTGAGGAAGGGCCAGATCCCTCTTTACTTCATGAGATGAGCCCTGTCTGAACAAGTTTGCATTGTAAAGAACGTGAGCTGAGACACTTGGGAAGTACGTGGCAACGAGCGTGGCAGACAGTGGCATGAGCACACCAAGGAGGGTTTTATGGTAGGATTTGAAGATAATAAGAGCACATTTTGATGGGTGTTACCATACGTTTTTCTTAAATTGTTGAGTTGCTATCTCAGTAATTAAAGAGGCAGCACTATGGTGGAAGACATGAAGACTCCTAAGTGAAGCTAAATGGCTTTATTTGTTGCGTTACAGAATGGAGAGGCCGTTAGAGAATGCAAAGAGATGATGATTGCATCAGAAACAAGGAGTTGGAAAATGGTGTTTGTAGTAGCCTTCTGACTAAGTGTAGATGGGTCAGTGCTACACCGCCACTTGTCATGCTTGGTCAGACTGAGTTTCTGCTGTCCAGGAAGACTTTTTTTTTTTTTTTTTAAATTACTGATTTTCAGTTGTGATTCTATAATCTTGAGGCACTTTCTGAGCCTGAATTAAAGCAAGGCTTGAAGAAAGGCCTTTTGAGCCAGCCGTATGTGTAACAATGAACTTTTCTTTCTTCCTTGACATCTGAAATCCTAGATAGCTTCCTAACATGCTTTTTCTTATTATTTTCTGTTTAGCCTCCAGTTCCAAGCCTGAACTCAGCTCCAGTTCACAGACTTTGGGAAGTCAGCAGAACAAGACAGATGGCACCCGAGTAAAAACTCGCATTCTGCCCAACATGCCAAAGCTTTTCATACCTTCATCTGTCACCAAATTTCCACCTGAGATCACTGTCACTCCACCCACTCCCACCCTCCTTTCTCCAAAGGGCAGCATTTCAGAAGAGACCAAGCAAAAATTAAAGGTAATAAAAGGGAAACAGTAATATTTTTAGATTATTGTTTTTGTCTTAATTCTCCCCTCAGTAAAATACAGGTATGAAAGGAGCAACGGTTCCTGTCCCCAGTTCATAACCAGAGGTAGAATAAGTAGTGGAGGAAGATGCTAGCGGTTATCGGCAAGAGCCAGTTTTAAAGGACTGGTGAAATACTGGCCATGGGTGAAATCACAGCTCTTCTAGTCCTTACCCCCTTTCTGAGAGAATTAGAAAGAATTACAGAAGTGGGTGAGGGAACTAGTGCAGCCACTGTAATTCTTAGGTTAGTGGAAACTAGCAGATTACTGACTGTGGGGAAGCCTACTGGTAAATGTTGTGTCGTTTCACATGAGAATGCTGTACCTTTTATAGAAGTAACAGACCTATTGAATGTGGAGGAATAGCAACCGGATGGCTTTTATCCCTGTGATCATGGGTTTATCCTGACTATTTAGCAATATATTCTTTCTCTCTCTTTTTGGGATCAGTCTGCTATTTTGTCTGCTCAGTCTGCAGCGAATGTAAAGAAGGAGAGCCTTTGTCAGCCAGCTTTGGAAATCTTAGAGACCTCAAGCCAGGAGTCCTCACTGGAAAGTGATACTGATGAAGATGATGACTACATGGACATATGAATGAATTCTGGCCATCATCAACACCAACCACATCACCATTCTTCCTGTTGCCAGCATCTCTGGCAGTCGAAACATCTTCGTTGGCATTGCTCTCCATTTAATCTGCATCATTGTGTTCTTCACTTTCATTACCTTTGTTATCACCACTACCACGTGTATTGCCTTCAAAACCTTCGCCATTCTCCCCATCGTGGTGCTTGACGGAAAGAATGGTTGTTTACCAGGCAGTTAATTAATTTGGACCACGCTGTCACCTTTAACTTCAGTAAACGCAAGGATGTTTTGAGCTGCAATTCACATCTCTGCTGTTCCTGCTTCTTCAAACCAGAGCCTTGGGGGTCACTCCAGTAGCTCTTTTTTACCGGATTTTCTTCCTTTTAGTTGTCGTTCTGCATTTGCCCTGCTCGTTAAGTTTTTCTCCCAATAATTCAACAACCTAGTGTCTGTCTAGCCATGCCACAATTAGTCCAGCAGCTCATTTTAAGTAAAAATTTGCTGAGCTGCTAGAGGTTTTAATTGCATGAAGTAAGTCTGTGGCGTTTGTTGTGGGGCGAGAAGGGTGAGCTGAGAGTCTGTTGGCTCCTTGGGGCTGCTGGGTGCTTTTTTGGAGTTTAACTCGGTGACAACAGGCAAAGCACCAGCTTTTCCAGGCAGGCAGAGAGGTTGGCCTCCTGTTTGTGCTCATTTCACACCAATGTATGAGGTCCAGCAAATACAATCTACCTGAATGTTGGCTCAAAGAACTGATCTTTCCAGAATTGTCTTACAGTCCTTTCTCTTCTAATGCCTTGGACAAGCATTTTGAACTGGGGGCTAGATGATATTTTTATGGCGGTATTGAAAAAACTTAAAAGATTTCAATACCATTTCAGTAATGTCTGTTTTTTACAGAATGACACGAAAAGGTATTTTTTATCTATCTGCAGAAGGACTGCTCACAGTTATTTATATGAGAAAATAATGGTAACAAAGTTCCTTTTTTTTTTTCTACTAAATGTTAACTTTGTAAAATAATGAATGCAAACCATGCAAAAAAAACCCCGTCACACTATATATACACATGCGTGCGCCCACACACATATATATATGTGGATGTACATATATATATGTATGTATATGAAAAAAGAAAATGCATACAGCTCGCAACATTGGATTTCCTTGTGTTTGGGGGAGGTGGTTTTCTGTAAAATGCGGAGCTTTGTATAAACTTTTGTTTTTTTCTAATAAAGTTGAAATGTACTGTTGTCTGTGTTTGTCTGAGAGGGCAAGGTACCGTGGTTCTGGAACAAGTACCACTCCTCCCTTCCTTTTATTTCTTGGATAAGGAGGTAGTGGAGGAAGGGGGTGGGGGGAAGCCTTTTCCTTTTCTGGGGGCTGCCGTAGCTCTTCACATGGGTTTGCTTTTGTGTGACCCAGAACGTGGGTCAGCCGGCGTTGCCGAGATTTCCTGCAGCACGTTCACTTCCCCGTTGAGACAGGATCTGAATTCTCTTACACCCGAGTATCTTTGAGTGCGGATGAACAACGTAAAGGGGATGACAACACGTGGTGAACAGGATCACAATGAGTATTTGGCTGCAGAGATTAACAGTTAACTGACAATTACAGTGCTCGCTCTCATTCATCAGAAGCACCACCAAACTTTGTGTTGCAAGTTTATGCTCATATTCTGGGTTACTTGTTTTGAACAAAATTGAGTTTGTAAGCACCTAAGAGTGCCCATCATGGGTGTATTAGCAACTGTTTGTGTAACTCTACTTCCTACAAGTGACAGGTGAGCTGAATGCGACTGATGTGGAAAGGATCAGATAACTGAATGGTAAAAGCAAATGAGTATTATTTTCAATAGCAATATGTTTCCAGTGTTTGCTCTTTAATTTGCTGTAAGTTGTTACAAATGCGGTGTACAGCGTACCGTGTAGTTGTTGGCTGGCAATAGGCTATGGCAGCTTTAGAGTAACAGGCATGAGCATTATTTTTTTCAGGAGATAGCACAGGAAAAATCAGCTTCTTATGAGAAACGGAACACAACTCAGAGGACGTAATTCTAAATAGGGCTCTTTCACCTGAATAGACTACGTAGGCTTTTTGGGTAATGTATATTCTTAAACGTATGGCTAACTTTAAGATCACATTTAAATCTTAGGTCTACAATTCCAGCATGGGTCTGATGTACGAAGACAGAGCGTTTAATTTTCTTAATTGAATTTGACAACTGAAAATGATTGTTTTCCTTTATTATTCTTAAGAATTCCTTGGCAGCAGGCATTTTGCACCTTGTTCCTCCAGAACTTGCTAAAATGCCTGATCTTGAGCTTTTCTTGACTTCTAATCCTGCTTTTTGAGAAGGATTTAATTTTTTGCTGGTTAAGGAAAGCTAGAAGGGTAAGTGAACCTGTTCTGTCAGCAGGAGAGCTGAACTTTGCTGATCTGCTCTAAAATTTTAATCTTCGAACTACACAACCATGCAACTTGTTATATTCAAAACTTATCTGTTTGTCTTTTTTTTTTTTTTAATCTCTGATCTTTTATTCACGTCGTGCTCTTGGGTAGCTGATGGAATTTTTCTCAAGCTCAACATCTTCCTGAGAAAGGCCACCTCCTTCAAATCCTGCCCTTCTGCTAATGACTAAATAGTGTGTTGCTCAGCTCTGGGCCACCTTCCACAGCGGGTGTTACTGCTGGTGTACGCTGAAGGAGCCGTTCCGTGTGCGTGAAACCGTCCTTCTGTAAGTACAGCTTACGTAGTCCTTTAGTGCAAGGAACCGTGTCCTGGAGTGCAGGTGCCAACATCACTGGGTGCATTTACACACGGTGTCTGAAGCACCTTGGGGCGAGAACTTCAAATCCTTATAAACAGAAGTATTCACTTAATAGAGTGTCTTCTGAAGCCAGGCAATAGATTTTTTTTTTTTTTTTTTGTATTTCCAAGGAAAAAAAATAAACTCACATCTAACTGCAGTTTTACCATAATTCTTTATTTGAAGTAATTTCTTGTGATTTCAGTCTAATTCTAGCTGTAATAGCTTGAAATCCAAGTATAGGCAAGGTCCAACTTCCCAAGTTGCATATCAAATGTACAACAGCTGTCTTCAGGATTCACTGGGTAACTGCTCCTGAATTCACGGTGTTGCCCAGTGTCTGTAATGCCCAGACAAACCACTGTCAACTACCCACGAGTGTTGCTTTGTGTTGGCTTGGCTCGGTTTTTCCCTGTGAAGCTGAGGAGGCAGGCATGTCCGGTGCCTGAAGTAAACTGCAAGGTAAGGTAAGCTGAGGTCAGGGGGGAGGCTTGAGGTTTTTTGGGGGTATTGTTGGCTTATCCTCTGCCAGTAATTATTAAAAAGAACATCCATTTTAGCTACTAAAAAGCCAAACTTCTAAGACTACCAGGGCAAACAACAAAAATGTTTTTGTTTCAAAGCACCTGGAAAAAGAAATTATTTTGAATTAGATGTTGAGAGTAATTTGTGGATAGTTGACACACTTTCTGTGCTGTTACTGGGCTTGGGTTTTACCCATGATAAGAGATCTCTCGCTGATCACCGCTGTTAAGATGCATAGTACTGAGATTTGGCTGTGTTTAATGCAATTTCATTTCTTGGCATGGGCGTTACATAATATATGTACAGTAAAGACCGTCGAGAATTTATCTCTGAGGCAAGGACTAGTGTTTTACTAAGAATTAATTTTGTTGGGCAGAGCTGTCATTAGTGGCTTCTGCCCAGTGTCTCAGAAATGTTCTTCCAAAGCTGATAATGTTTCATCCCACAACCAAAAGAGCGCATCAAGGAAGATGCCGAGTGTCTTCCTTAATTTTATCATGTACTGGGGTTTGTCAGTTGTTGTCGCTTGTTTTCTTTTGGGATTTTTTTTTAATTAGAATGAGACTTACTCATGAATAATGAAATTAATGTCTTTTGCAGCCAAAATAAACACCATATGGTCAGGGAGAAAGGGACCAGGAAAAGATGAGGAAGGTGCGGCAGCTGAAGCTGATTAAGACATAAAATGGACTGAATGGAAACAGAGGGGCCAGGTGAGAGCAGACCAAATCTTACTGTCCAGGGGGGTCACGCCGTCATTAAATTCAGCGTTCTGGTTTGGGCAGTGGTGAAGATATTCAGTGAAGGTGAAAAATCCGTCGCGTACATAGCTACTGTGTGTGTATCTCGAGTGTGCCGTGTTACACACCGCGCAAAGCTCGCTTCTGGTGCAGGTGCTTGTCAGGGTCTTCACGGAAAAAGGTGGCGGGGTAGATGATTTGGGATGCTCAGAAGAAAAAGCAGCAGGCATAAATCTTATGGTCTCTTACTTAGTGATGTAAAGCTGGGATGAAGCAGCTTTATTCTTGCAGTTGGAGATGACGATAAGAATTTCGTGTAGGTGTTGAGTGCTAATTGCCATCTTTTTAGGATTTATCCCTAATAAAATGTCCCGTGTGAATAAGAACAAGGCATGTGGCAGGCCTGTCTGGAGTGCGGTCTCAAGTCTCTGTGTGCATCTCCATAGCTGTGTGCCTGGAGTTCATCCTCCCTTGTCATTTGGGAGCTTCACTCTCTGCTCTGGTAGCACTAGAGGGGGCCCTAGGACAGAGAAGGGAAGGGGGAAAAAAAAAAGGGAAATTACCAACTCCCACCCCAGACCCTAAAATGGATGACCAGGATCTATCTAAACTTCTGAAAGGCTAAATTTCATTGCTTGTTTTTACCTAACTTACTTCTGAGGGCCTTCTGCTGCTGTGCCATATGTCCTTTTCATAAGGCACGGCCTGACCCGAAGCGGAGCGAGGAGGGTTCTCATGGTCTGTTCACAGGATTCTGTCCCATGTTCCTGGCCCTGGCAAAAAAAAAGTTCACTTTGTTACCATCGATACTGCAGCTTTGCAGGTAAACAGATCCACTATATACTTGGTTTTCACACAAAATCTCTTTGGCCCATAACTACATTTCTCTTTTTATGGTTTTTTTTCAGTTCCCCTATAAGAAACCTACGGGGTCTTTCCCGTTTTCTTAATGTGCAGCATATTATAATGGGGGAGAGAAAGCGTGTCTTTTGACAGTTAATCTTCTGTAAGAGGACTCAATGCTTTCAACCTCATTAGTGCAAATCCTGATTAATTTAATCTGAGTTCACGGCAGAGGCCTGGGGCTTGAGAGGCCTGGTGGAACTGAACCCGAGAGTAGGTGATAAACATGCAACTCATGTTTTGCGATAGTTTGATTAAAGTAAAATTCTAATTAGGGACCAAAATGTATATGAAAATGATGGAAGAAACATGTAGCTTTCAAGGATGAAAAAACCCTGTAGAACAGTCTGTTGTTACCTGAAACAGCCGGGAGGTAAGATCGAGTGCTGTAGCCATCTTGCCAAAATGCACGTGAAATGGGATTGTCAGATGGAGCTGAGGGCGAGGACTGACTGCAGAGTCAGAAAACCAAAGCCCTTTTACCAGAGGGGAGAAGTAAAATCTCATTTCTGCCTGCATTTAAGATTTATCTGTGCAATTAAACAATTGTGTGCAAAAGCATTCCATTATATAATCCCAGTGGGAGGAGCACTTCGCAGTGTCCAAGTACATCGTCTTATTGAAGGAAACAGCCTATCTAAAACCAAGTCAAGATACATGGTAAAAAATAGTTTTTGCTCTCAGATTAGACACTGATAGCCCCCTCTCAATTTTTATTTGTCAGCCTGTTGTTTTTAACTCTCCTTTCTTCAGAGACCCTGTAAACCACAGTGAATTCCAGTAGAAACAGAATATAAACAAAGTCCATGTGTGGTATAAGTGTATGAGAACCACGTTGGGATGGTGGTCATTTAATTTTAGTCAGAGTGGTATTATTCTGACTGCAAGTGGACGGCCGCGTAGCAGGCCAAAGGCATTTTAGACGTAGTGCTTCCTGCGTGAAGGCTTAATTGTTACCTATCACCACAGGTACCTTCAGGAACCTGCCTACACACTCACATGCTTTCATTTTCACTACTTGGAGATTTTTGGCAGACACGGAGGGCTGGTCACAGGAAATAATATGCAACCGAGTTCTGTTTGCAAATCTGCGTTGCATGAACTATTACCTAACAAGCAGTCCACACGTACTGTTCACTAATAATTAGTACAGGATATTCTACCAGCAGAAAAGCTTCATACTTTAGAAGTGTTCTTTGATTCCTTGTAATGTAAGTCACACCAGAGATTTCATTTCCTGGAGTTACACACTTGAGTGTATGAAGAGT